CCCATTAGTTAAAAAGAAAAAATAAATCAAAAATCTTCCTGAGAGCCTTTGTGGTTTCTGGGAGGGTGGGAGATAGACAATCCAATTTTAAGGACATCCTGTAGTAGAACTGGTACGATAGTGAGAAATCTGAATGTTGCTGTTCCTGAGATCTCTAAGGTAAATGCTGAGGGGGATTTTTGTGCAGTTTTGCTTGTGGCGTCCTGATAACAAGTCATCTAAAGACAGTACTCTTTTGGTAAAGCAGTAACAGAAATGGTAGTAGAATGTTTGTATCCTGATGATGTCACTATTCAGGACTTGTTTTCAGTGGAGTGTGCAAAACCACTTAAATTGCACTGAACAGTAAGTGGTGTTCAATTGTTCCATTGTCCATCCTCTTTCCTCTGCACTTTAGTTTCCTTCATGCAGCAGATTCTGTAGTTACATGAGAAAATTTCAGTGTGTTGACTGATCCCATGTTACCCGTTTTTCTGTATAGAAACCAGAGGGGTTGATGAATGCATGCGTAAATTAAGTGAATGATGATTAAATGGGACAGAAGGAGGCCTTCAAATACATTTCTAACGCGGAAAAGCCAATCCTACAACCTGTCAATGAGCTGGTATTTAGGAGCAGGTGATTGGTAACAGTTTGTCGCCAAATTGAATATTCAGGCGGTTCTTGCCCATCGTAAGACTTCACTAGTTCTGAATTTTTGAAGTCGCTGCTGAAGTATATGCCCATCTATGAGCGAAAGCTGTATTTTCAGGTGGAGAAAGCTTCCTAGAGTGACTTGTACAAGGGAGATTTTGTTACAGTTAGTGGGATGTGAGTTGTGTTTGTCCTGAAGGACACTGGGCTTTTTTGAGATGTGAGGTTCAGGCCTACCTATATGTAGCTCAGCATTTGAACTGAACTGATGTTACTGTGTTGAGAAAATCTGCCAGGAAGACTTCAGATTAAGTCTTTCTGGTTAATGAAAGTAGAACTGTTTGCATTAATCAAAAAAATATTGAATTGTTAAATGTAAGTGGAGTAGAAAAGGGTTATAAGCAGACTGATGAAAGCTTGGTTTAAATGACCTCTTATAACTGAAGTAATTTGAGAGTTTGTTTGTCTTACAGGAAAAGAGCAACCCCTTTATTGACATATGCAAGAAGTGACAGATTGTTTGGAAGATGACAAATCCATCAATGAAGGAGCTACATATGATCTAGATCTTTATAATTTTTGAAGGTACTTGGGTGCCTACAGATGGAAGTAGGACCCTATGAAACTTATGGAAGTGCCTGTTTCTTCCAGCAATTGCCTGAATGCTTTAAATGTTAAACCTTTAATTTGTAATGCCTGAGATGGTAATACAATTACAGTGAAAATAAATAATTTTACATTTTGCTGTGCCAGCATTTTGTCCTTGAATTGTCTGTGTTATGTAGCCATATAATTTGACCATGAATTCTAAACCAATACTTGACGGGGTCTTTTTGCTTGCTCCCACCTCCTTTCCTTAGCTGTAATAATGGACCAACAAATACTGTCTGTGTCAAGTCTCGCATGTCTTGGGGTATGTACTCCTCTAGCTTATTCCTCGCCCCCCCGCCAAAACAACAACCAACCACCAAACAAACTAAACCTTCATTTGCCTGCTTTCTTAATTTGAAATCTCCACCTTGACACGAGATTCCTTAATATTTTGTGGATACATACCATCTTTCAAGGTATGAAAGTGTCTTGTTACTAACAGTTTCACTGAAATGGGAAATCTTCTCTCATCATGGATCAGAACAGAACTATCTACGAATTCCAGTCCTTGAAGCTCTTTGTAAATAATTGTCCAGTGTTTTTGACTTTGAAATGAGTGAGGAATGGGCAAAATTGAAGAACAAGACAGATTTTAATCATTTCTTATATGGGTAAAAGGGTGTACTAATACATAGTTAATTCTATAACTTTTTTTCTTAAATTAGAATTGTATTTAACAGTGAAGTGGAAAGCAGTAGTTTGAGTATTTCCTGAAAGTACCATCTGGTTGACAGGCATCAGTAATATTTTGTATGAATATAATGACCTTCAAAACCTGTATTCAGACCTACAGTAACATTACTTGGGCACTGAAGGCAATTTTTTAACCTCTGTCACAAATGATAATGGAAGCTAAAGAAGAATGTGTTGAATAGTAATTACAATAGTGCAGAAAACTTTCAAGTTGTGTTTGACAGACACGAGATTTCTTTCTCTGAACTATTCAAACAAACTTGTTAGAATTCAGTTTCTTTTCTGTCTAGCAGCAGTTAGTCAATTAAATTAAGCTTCCAAGTGTATTCTATTTGTATGTTCTTTACAAGTAATGTTACAAAGAACTGAAATGTTTTTTGTTTGTTTTTTAATCACTGGGAATTTTTTAGAGTGAGTCCTATGGATCTTTTTCCCTAGTATGTGTTGAAGGCAATTTCTGTGTGTAGGTCTCGAAACTCTTAAGTGAAGTTTCTCAAACTTGTCCTTGTGTACAATTCATTGGAAAAGGACCTGGGGGTATTGGTTGACAGCCAGCTGAATGTGAGCCAGCAGTGTGCCGAGGTGGCCAAGAAGGCCAATGGCATACTGGCCTGTATCAGGAATAGTGTGGTGAGCAGTATCGTCCCCCTGTACTTGGCACTGGTGAGGCCCCACCTCAAGTAGTGTGTTCAGTTTTGGGCCCCTCGCTACAAGAAAGACATTGAGGTGCTGGAGCGTGTCTAGAAAAGAGCAACAAAGCTGGTGAGGGGTCTGGAGAAGAAGTCTTAGGAGGAGTGGCTGAGGGAACTGGGGCTGTTTAGCCTGGAGAGGAGGAGGCTGAGGGGAGACCTTATCACTCTCTACAACGACGTGAAAGGAGGTTGTAGCAAGGTAGAGGTCAACCTCTTTTTGCTAGTAACAAATGATAGGACAAGAGGAAATGGCCTCAAGTTACATGAGAGGAGGTTTAGATTGGATATTAGGAAAAAGTTCTTTACAGAAGGGGCTGTTAAGCATTGGAATGGGCTGCTCAGGAAGGTAGTGGAATCACCGTGCCTAGAGGTATTTAAAAGACAGGTGGATGTAGCGCTTAGGGACATGGGTTAGTGGTGGTTTTAGCAGTGTTAGGTTGATGGTTGCACTTGATGATCTTAAAGGTCCCTTCCAACCTAGACAATTCTGATTCATCAAAGTGGTTTTTTACTAGTAAATATACAAAGGAGATTAACTGTTAGAAGGACATATGACCTACTAGAAACTCCCCCCTCCCCTATTGACACGAAATTCTAAAGCAGGTTATTTTAAGAATAATTTTAATATACTTTATCCAGTGAAAAGGAAAAAATGTTGTAAGCCTCAGTGTAGTGTGTCAGTTTTCACTTAAGAATTTACCCTGTAGCAGTGTCACATGTCACTGTATTTCCTTTGTCGGTAGATCAGTAGTGAAAAAAGAAAACATGCCATAGACGAGACTGACATCTTGGCATAGGAAAAAAGCCAGCCAGATCTTCAGGAATATGGGTAGTTTTACTTTTACTTTGTTAAAGACAAGAAACCTTTAAACTTTCACTGATCTGCCATTTGTGAATGTAATATGTCTATTTGGGTGCCTTTTTAAGAATGAACAGACCATGTCAATACGGGAAAGCTTTGGACTTCATTGTTAAAAGCATTCGCTTTTGCTGAGATACTCTAAGAAGATTTAAAGGTGAAATTTGTCTCTAACATGGGCACCTAAGTTTAGGTGTGTAGGTGTTACTTTCTGTCAACTACATTTGCTTAGAGAACCTAAGCTCCATTGACTTTTTTGGCAAAGGGTTTGATTTAGTTGCTTAAAGGTAGGCATCTGGTGTCATCTGAGACGTAGGATATCTGAAGCAGTTGCGTGGGCTTGGCATGAATGACACAACCTATAAGTAATTCATGTCCTTCTCAGGTGGGAGCTGGAAACCAGTTGGGATACCCTAGAGCATCTCACAGATACTAAATGCCTTTGTTTAGGCAACTAATTTTGCCTCAGAAGTCCTTTGATACAATAGGATTGCATGCAGGTACCTCAACGTGACACCTTTCTTAAACTTGAGTTCAATCCTGGTTATGGTTTCTGGAATACAGAACCTTACTGCAATGAAGATTGCTCGTTTGTAGTTTAAATTCCCTATGTGTAATTACATATGGTAATGTGCTGGTTGAGTTGGAATGAAAATAGAGAAATCCTGCATTGAAGAAGGTTGTTTTTTTTTTTAATTGAATATGACTTTCAAGTTACTTTTTGGGTACTGTTTGTAACCTTGGACTGCTAGCTGAGTGGAGAGAGTCATTTAGCATGTAGAGCTTGTCAGCCTGTCATGGAGGTTACAATAGTCACTTGCCTTTCATTCTTGGGCTGGAGGACGCACCTACTGCTCAGATGCAGGGGACAACAACAAGATTTCTTAGGGAAGAAAGTATTTCTACTTCCAGGTTTATGGCTCTTTATGCTAACAGCGGTTTCTCTAATTACTTTTCAGTGAGCTGCTGGTGATCTAATTAAAATATTTTGCGAGTGTTCAGGACGTAGATTTCAAAGCAAATTGGTTGGGAAAAGTTAAGTCTGTGAACCCAAAGCTGCTTGACAGACAGGCAGATGTGTCTCCTCTTGCGAGGGTAAGGGCTGGAAGCTGTGAAGGGACAATGGTACTGCCTTGTCTTGTCGTGGGCAGAAAATTTCCCGTATGAGTGAAGGTGACACAAAAAGTTGTCCCTATGTTTATTCTCCTAATCAATGACTTACAGCTTCTCTGAAGCATAAGACATTTAAAAAAAATGTGTGTTTGTGTTCGTACCTGTTTCTTCTGTAAAAGGAGAAAACAGCAGCATTAAGTAATAATTGTTTATTAGCATAAGACTAAAACTTTTCACAAATATTTATAATCATACCAGTCAAGATGTACTTTTCTGCGACAGTTTGGTCTGGAATATACACAATAAACAGTTTAGCCTAGTTGTCTTATTTCAGCTTTTAGAATGCATCATTTCACTGAAGAAGAGAAGGTAATAAATGTGCAGTTTTCCATATTTTAAAATGGAAAATATTACATCCATGATAACACAGGATCACATCATCAATTCCTAACCCAGCACACCTGTACGCTGCTATATGAATGTCACTGTAATGAAAAACAATGCACCATTAACAGTACTTGGAACCACAGCTTCTAGTTGTTATTGAGGACCCACCACGATGCTGAAAGAGAGAAGAATTTATTTAGTTAGTTGTTAACATAAAGAGTATTTCTGTCTCTGCCTCCTAAATAAAATAGCTATCATGTGTATAAAGAAATATTTATATATGCAGCTAATACTACTTTATTTGAAAACTGCATCATTCAAGGACAAAGCCTCTCCAGGCAGGGGAAGAATACTTAAAATACTAGGAGAGCTGAATATAACTGCTGGGGGGGGTGGCTTTAGCGCAAGAATTTATATCTCTTTTTGATAACATCCAAAGAAGCATTAACGTGTCATAGGTGTGGATGCACAGAATTAAACGCCCAGATCCCAGAGAGCAAACCACATAAATCCTCGCTCCTTTCCTGAGGCATGCGTTGGTATTTTAGCTGAGCACTGTGTCCCTGGGGTGGTTGTGCTGCCTGTAATGACTTTCATTCCTGGTGACATTATTCAAACCTGGTGCTGTTCTTTTTACACAACTCAAGGAATTAAGAGCTTTTTGCCCGAAAAGGGAATTGATGGGCTTGTAAAATGTCATTCCCATAAAAGAAGATTTGTAATCATGAGCTTATAGACAGGGCTGGAGTGAAACACATTTGGACTTCTCTCCCACAGCCCTTCCCCATTGCCCTTCTGAAATCGAACCTTATGCAGAGAGGAACCACAAGATCAGAGGGTTCTATGACTCTATGACATCCCTGGAGGTATTTAAAAGTCGGGCAGATGTGGTGTTAAGGGACATGGTTTAGTGGTGGTTTTGACAGTGTTAGGCTGATGGTTGGAATTGATGATCTTCAAGGTCCTTTCCAACCTGGACAATGATTCTGAGATTTATGGAGAGAGGCAGGCAGGAAGGAAAAGAATTGTGACTGTATCTGAAATGCCAAGGCCACTCAGTGGAGAGGTGTTCCAGGCTTGGTAGGTTTTGCACTACACAATTCGGGGATCAAATTCATTAATATAACTTGTTTCTGTGAATGTGTCCATAAATCGTTCGATTTATGGCATTCTTCTGAAAAATGTTATTCTTAAGGAAGAATGTTGAGAATGTACTTAAGAATCCTACCTGAATTTGGCCTAGTAGTCTCTGACACGTCAGTGGATTAATGAATTTTGGCCAAAAAAATGCCAATTTAACAGTTTATTTCATGGAATCCATGTCATAAGTGTTCAACAGTTTTCCCCTAGCTTTTGTTTTCTTCACCAAAAGGTTTTCTAGTGTCCTCAACTGCAGATCTTATGTAAAGAGTAGGCATTCACTGAAGATGGAGTGATTTGTGCCACCCCGGTGGATTGGCATGAAGCAACTCGGTCTGTTAACAGGTGTGCAAGTGATCGTAATAGGTTTTGGTTCCTGTTAACTGATGGTAAATTAATTCCCTTTAGGATAATACTGGAACTAACATGTCTTGAAAGCCCATGTCTTCCTGAATCATTCTTAGGCAGCTAAGTGTATCCTTATTAATTTTAACTAATCAGCTGAGTGACGACTTTTGGGTTGTCATCTTTGAATCAGATTCAGAATAGAGTTTAGAATTGTTTCAATTCTTAGTTAACCAGATGTGTAAAAAACTGTAGGTGTGTCTGAGCTAAGGTAAATTTGGTTTTAAAGTAGAGACTATTTATGTGCTAGTTGCAGACAGGTTGGGTTTTTCCCTGATTTTACAGTGGTATCGCTTTATGGTGTATAAAATTCTTTCATAAAGTATACCGGTAGCACTGCAGCCATCATTTTTTACTTCATGAACATTCTCTATCTTTCAAATACAAATATGGTATGTACAGATCAAATACGCAAAGTACTTTGCACGAAATCAAAGTTCAAATGTCCGTACAGATTTCTAAAGAATAGATAATCTATACAATTGTGAAAATAACTGCGAATGCGTTCCTTCCCATTGCCCCCCCCCAGCAAGGAGCGCACAGGGAGAAATGCTGTTTCTATGGCAACTGTCTGCCAGGATAGAGCACGGCAGACTGAAATCCTTCTTAGCAGGCAGAGTCGATGCTTTAAGGACCATTTTGAATCCCATTTCAGACCCTTCTATAGTTAGGCATTTGTAAATGATGTTTACATTTTATTGTATGTTAATTGTACTTTAGCTGTGAACATTCCCGGGTCGCTCCCCTGGAACACTCCCGGGTCACACCCAGTCTAGCCCTTGGACAGAAAGAAGTTTGGGAAGAGGCCGTGTTGTTTCCTACAGTCAAGTTTGTATTAAATCCAGCAATTTCCCAGTAAGATACAAGATTTGAAGAGATTCTTGGTTCATTAAGTGCAATCTCCTGATACCGCAGGAATCCCTGGCATATAGTTGTGTGTTCAGATCAGGCTCTCGAGGTCTGAAAATGTCTTGGCTGGTTTCTTTTAAGGAGAAACACCAGGTATAGGACTATGTAATTTTTATTTTTTTTTCTACTAGATGGGGTTTTATTATTTTAAATTTAGTCTGTAGTCAGACATAGGGGAAAACAGGGTTTCATTCTAATAAATTCGTGTTGCCTGAGAAGCTTGCTGTCTCCTCCCCCAAAATATGGGCCCGATGTTTGCTTTGCTTCATCCTGCACTGTCTCTTTTTAACTATCATTTCTCTGAGAAAGAAGATGTTGTGTGCTCATTGGTTTGTATTAGAAATAGTAATCTGGACTCATTAACACCTTGCGTTTTCAAAGTAGTTTGTTTTTTCCCAGTTTTAACATAGCAGGGAGCATGTACAATAAATTGCTTAGTAAAGAGAAATTATTAGTAATTAAGACTCGCGTCAGTCAATGTAAATATGATTAAGTTGAAGTCTTCATCAGCAAGCAATTTTTTTTTGCCTGAAAATCTTAAACAGGGTCTGTTTTACTAGTCACAAATTGTATTGTTTATTCTAGATATTTTCTTAAATAGTGTATGCTAGCATAACTTTCCACTATATAAAATAAAGCATTGTGGGTCTTATTCTTGCTGATGCATTTTACATTTCTGTGCTTAAAATAAAAACACTTGGAGTCCCTTTCTCCTTCATACTTTACCAAAGAAAACCTGACTAATGGTGATATTATGCAGTGGTCCTGCATATGGAACGCACTAATATAGCAGGAGTCTTCACATGGAATAAAGACAAGAATGTGAAAAGTCAGTATTTACCAGGGACTACCATTGTTGTGATGAGCTCTGGAGTTTCCAAGAAGTCCACATTACTTCTTTGGAATGTCTTGCTGTAATTCATTTGAAGGTGGCTAAACAGTTGTAAAAAATAAGAATAAGAATCAAGTTTTTTAAAGGCGCTAAAAATTTTTATGAGCCTCAGAAATCTTACAATTAATGCTATAACAGTGTATTTTTGTGCTTCAAAACTTAGAAGATTATGATAGTGGAAGAGGAGACCAGATAAGCTGTGAAGTTCTTGCGTGTTATATTAAACGCGCTTTTTCTTCTGTATGCTTTTCTTCTGTATGCTTAACTGTTCATCTCTTGGTTGTGACCCGGTATAGCAGTTCTTGTTCCAAGCGTGTTGATGTTTTACCAGTGTTCTTGAGTCTTTCTGAGGGTAAACTTTGAACAAGGACTTTGTTCAAAAGGAAAGAAACTAAGCTTCAGGAGCCTTCTCCATCTCCCTGCTGAATGGTTTCTGTCTACAGATTTAGGATTGTGGGGTTTGTTTGGGTTTTTTTAATAGTAAAAGTAGTTAAGGAAAATCTTTTTCTCTCTACTCAGTTTCTTAGGCATCTGTCTGCTGCAGGCTAGAACTCAGCTGGTAGGACTTTTGATCACTATAATTTTGATTTTGGGCCCAAACCAGACATTCCAGGAATCTGTCAGGTGGGTTTTTGTGATGTAGATTTGGGAAGCTTTGGGACAGGCCCCCGTGCCCCCTGCTTGCATTCTTGAATGTGTTGCTGGATGGCACACTGTCCTGGTTTGAGTGACACAGGACTAATGTCTCTTCTAATACTTGGGAAGACTGCACTTTTAGAAGACTCTAGTGTCTGAATTTGTAAAAATATTTACTTTCCAGCCAGCTGTGGTATATGGGTTTCAAGGTCTCAGTGTTTTCGAGCTTGCCAGGTGCAGGGATGAGGAAGAGAGAGACCCGGGCACTTGACCCAAGCTGGCCAACAGGATTATTTCATACCATCAGCATCACATTCACTATAAATTAGAAAGTTTGGTGCGAAGTGCTCTCTCTCCCTTGGTGGCTGCCGTCCTGAGAACGTTGTGCCCTGGCGCCGGACCCCTGAGGCCTTCCCTTGTCCCGAAGCCGTAGCACTCACAGTGTCCGACATTTGCTGTCCACCGCTGGGAGTGCACAGCTCCTACTGATAGAATTGGCTGAGTATAATCTTTGCATATTCTATATTGGTATTGGGATCAATATTGGTTCTTTAGTGCTATTAATGTTAATTATCTAATCTTACTCTATTAAATCTGTTTATACATCAACTTCCTGGATTCCTTGTTTTTTCCCGATTCCCTTTCCTGGGTGGGGAGGGGTCATTGGGTGATAGAATGATTGTCTAAACGACAATAAATTATTATGGGTTTCTCAAGCCATAACACACACCTCCCACCTCATTCATTTCTTTCATTGTCATCATTGAACTATGGTCATATTGCCGTTTCCCCATTGCTTTGTCTCTGATCAACTACCACACATCTGATGCCATACCTTTTTCTGTCTGCTTTCAGACATGTTCTGTTCTGCTCGTGCTAGCTGCGTCTTTCTGACATTTTTATTTATATGTTCCAGTATGTTTTAGTCTTCAGCAACTGAAGTGTTGTTCTGAGGTATTAACTGTTATATATTTAGTAAGAGATAGATTAGCAGCATTTAAAGTAATTTGTATTCAGTCTTTCTACGCAATTGCTCTCTAACCTTCAAAACCTTCTGTAGTAAAAAAACAACAACCCCAAAACCAAAAAAAACCCAAACCCCCAAACTTACGTATTCCAGGCATTGCTGTTCTCCCAGAACTCGTAAACAATGAAGCGGGAATCACTTGGAATCTTCTGTATGGAAACACTAAGAATTGTAGGATAGAACTAATTTAATCACATATGACAAAGTTATTTGACATACACATCTTATTCCAGATTGCTTATAAGTATGAACCAAATGCAGTGATTTTTGGAAAAACAAACAAATTAAACCCCTCAACTAATAAAGTTTAGAAATAAGTGATTTGGGGAAATATACTGTGAATTATCTGAGCTGCTATTTTTTTTTTTAAACTCATGGAGTATGTGTATGGCTTTTTATTTATTAGTATTTTATCTTAGTACACTTATGATGGACTCTTACTTGAGAAACTAATTTTTCATATTGCTCCAATAGCATAATTTATCTAAAGATAGATAATTTATCTAAAGAAATGCTAATTGGTAATACAGGAAATGAATCAAACAACTGTGGTTCAGGGAAAAACAGCTAATACAGCATATTGCACGTAGAGAACAGTTCAAGTAAGTTCGTAGAGTAACTTGTGCTGTTTCATTGAAGAATTAAACTGTGACAAGTCATCCTTTTGGATGAGAGCTGTATCAAAGTGGCATAGTATAGGTGCTTTGGAAGCAAACAGCAATGGAGTACAAAGACAGATATACTGATGTCTGCTCCAGATACACTTTTAAAATAATATCTTTTGGTGTTATTTACTTGTCCTTATGTCATTCAGCTAACAATTTATCATGGGTGAAAAATGACCCACAGAGTAGCCGCTGATCCTTTGCACAGAATCATCCCACTATAGCATAAAAGCTTTATAGCATGTTGGGTACTTAGGCATTTGGGTACTCAAATTGGTGTTTAGATGTACAGCACAAAAAAATAGATGTGTTTCTCAGAGTGCCCAAGTGTGAGATTGCTGATCTTACTACTGATGTGCTTGCAAAATGATCTCAGATTATATTTCGTGCTGCAATAAGAAATTTCATATGATTTATTGTTTTTCTCCAGCCGTATGCAAACGTACATTGTGAAATAGTAAAAATATCAAGAACTGTTGGAAAAACACAAGGCAATGTCAGGAGCACCTGCATTGAAAAGCCACCGGTAGGTGGCATTCCAGACTTAGCAAATGCCTGTCAAATTGGGAAAGAAAGAAATATTTTGCCATCGTTTGTTCAGCTGCATTCTGAAGTCATGTAGGTTCTCCCTCCTGACAAGTTTGCGTCACTACAGCGTTTGGTTGGATGTTCGTTTTTGGAAGGCGGCTGGGGGGCTTCTCTTTGTTTTTTCCAGCTCTTGGCCCACAAGAGAATTTTATTTTCCTCATCTGTCTGCCGTTACAAGTGAACCACTGCAAAAAGATCACTCTTCTTCCAGCTTAACTTACTTTTTCTGGTCTGTGAGCACCACTGATATGATCACCTTTAAGTGAGATGATCTCATAGCAACAAGGCTCATAAATTAGAGATGTGATAGGCAGCCTTTGACGTATTTGAATATATAGGAAGATCCTGTATTGTGTACACATTAAAAACAAATATATTTATTTCATAATGGTCTGTAGTGTGTGCAGTAGTAGCTTTCTCAAGTATGTTAATTTAATATTTTCAGTACAGTGGTGAATCACTAAAATTTATTCTTAACCCAGTTCTGTTGTTTTATTTAATTCTAAAAGGAGCAAAGCAGAAATATACTGTTTTATGGAAAATTTTGCTTTGTAATTTTTCCCATTCTGTATTTTGAATGAAAATTTTAAAATGACAGCCTTAAGGGAAGATTTTGAAAGCTTCCAAACAGAAAACTGGCAAACAAGTGGATAAGTTGCTCCCTTGCCAGCTGAGCACAAATGAAGGATGGCAAATCAGTTTTCCAATAAAGAACATCAGCCAGCCTAGGAGCTTCCAGAAGCCATTAATTGATGACCTGCAGAGCTGAGAAGTCTTAAAACTTTAGCATCTTTGGCATAGCCTGTGTTGTCATTTTGTGATACTACTTAAAGTCTGCCCATACCCTTTGACATCTCTTCCTGATTTTAGTTGTCTTTGAAAAGCTTTGTCTTACGCACATGCATAACCAGCCAGGAAAGAAGATGTTACAGGTTCTCTCTTCATCCAGGTTATTCAAGAAATCACACTGCATCCCTTGCTTCAGCCCACGGGCAATAACATTGTACTTACTGCAAGCAGGCACCCTGAGTAGAAGCAGATTCCACGTACTGCTTCAGAGCAAGCCGGAATTCCTCGATTTCTTCTTCTATTACAGTCATTTGACGTTGAACAATCATGATGTGCTGATACAAAAACATTACAATATTACTGCCATATCATCCTCTGAATTCCTTGTACTTTAAACTCCAAAAGGTCTATCATAAAACAATAAAAAACACAATTATCAAAAAAAAAAACCCACCCACAAAAGTTACTTTGAAGATTGCGGTCCCTGTTTTAGTGCTTTCAGTGGGGAAGTAGAAACACTTGAGTGTAGCTTTTTTGTCTGGTCAGGCTGAAGCACAGAATGGAAACACCCAAAATGAGTGTTGACCTTACAGAAACTCAGAATCGTCCAAAACCTGGATGAGAAAATCTTTTCAGAAGAGTGCAAAGCAAATGTTTGTCTTTGGAATATTCAACAATAAAGTCAGCGTGTTTCCTTGGATTAATCTTTATGCAAGCAGGGGTGAGGTTTGAGGTAAGAACATATTCTCACAATCTGCATTGCATGCAGTGTTACTTTCCTTGAAGTGCTTGTAGGTCTTTCACCTTTCAGAGCTCTGACTCACACCTGAATGAGATGCCTAAGGTAGCCCCTCTTAAATGATGAATAGAGAGAGGGTTTTTTTTTCCTCCACCTTTCTGCAAAAAAATGAACAATCTTTATAAACAAGGACTATGGAAACACCCAGAAGTCCTATTTATCCTGAATTATTGTGGTTATCATTTAGTTAATGTAAGTAGTTTACATATTGATTCATCCATTGAAGCTTGTCAGTTTTACTAATGAAATATATAGAGAAGCACCACGTGCTTTTTAATTAATACAACTTCCTCCCTTGTATGACTTTTTGATTTGTTTCTGCCTTGATTAGTGGTACTGTTATCTCATGGATTATCCCTCCATCATAGGCAGCCTGTCTGTCAATATTGTATAATCTCATTTAAAAAAAGAAAAAATGTAAGACAACTCCTGTGATAAAATAAGGAATTTGATAGATCATCTATTTTGGTTATTTTTTCCTGTGTATTTGATTTGCATTTTGTTAGGTTTAAAGCTCAGAATTTAGGAATGTTAGTGCATTTGACAAACTGATCTTGGGACATGAACTTAATTGAAAGTAAGTTTATTTATGGTCATGATTTTGTTTTTCTAAGTGGTAATGTAGATTACTGCTTAACACTAGATGCTCCCTGGTCTTTCCTGGTATGGCTCCCTGTAGCAGTTCTGGGAGGGAGAGAGGGAAGGAGGGAGGCTGGGAGTCGTACAACCATGATTTGAAGGATGCATGCAGCATTCAGTGATTGGGAGCTGAGAAGCTGTCACCCCATAAACACTGCTGCCAAATTCGGTAAATCTTATAAATGACACCTTTTACTCTTTATATGAGCTGAGTTTTTGGCTCATTGTATCCTTTGAAAACAATGCGAAAATTAATATAAAAGTTTCTCCCACGTATTCTAAGTGTTGGTGTGTTGCGTCTTGCACAATGTATTCTGCTGACTACGAGGGATTCTTATCACTGGGGAAACGGAGGATGGTGATTTTTTAATTTTTATTTTTTAACAAAAGGGATCAGGTGAGATTGTTGTCTCAATAGTTGGCATGGAAAATCAAATGTCAAAAGTCATTATCTCGAAAAGCACTTACAGATTTTGCATTTTCTTCCAAAACTTCCTCTTCAAATGGCTCAAGCTTTAGGTCCTTTCAGGCAGTTGAAAAGAAAATAGAAACATAAGATGCAATACTACAGCTATATTCTAGTCTTACCTGTTTAACAAGCTATTCCAATAGCTAGATTCTGTTATATCTCACAAAGTTATAATTAAATCCCTTCTTTATTAGCTGTAAGTCAAACACAAGCATTGTTTGCAGTCTTGCACATTTTGGTGTTTAAATCCAAGCCAGGTCGTTCTGTAAATTTTGATTTATTGATTGAGCAGGTAATTTTTCATTTCTAACAAATCTGCTTGCTCACAAATGTATGTTGGACTTAATTCAGAAAAGACAGATACCTTCTCAAATTGTCTTGTGGAATATGAAGGTGAGCAAGGACGGTAATTTGAAATGAACTATCAGCCATCGTAAAATTTATACAGAGTAAAACTTCCCGGGAAGAGGGGGTATAGTTGCATGGGACTGTTTTCTAGCAATGAAGAAGATGTGCCCTGTGCTCCCAGTCAGGTTTCTGAACTGCTGCACTTGCTTCTGGGGACGGACTGGGCAGCAGCAAACAGATGCGTGTGTGGAGCATCAGTACGCTTGCTTAACGCGCAAACTGGATGCGCGCTTCATGAGTCAGTGGTTCATGCAAACACCATCTTGTGATGCACGCAAAATTATCACTTACACGCCTAGGCATGTGCAGTACCCGCTAACCCAGTGCCGAATGGATATTCTGAAAAATATCCACATGCCTGAAAAAGAGCCGATCGATTTGCAATAAGCAGCTGAAGCAAAATGCACTCCTTGTTAGTGCTGCTTCACTTCTCATTGCAAACAACTCTTGTGTAACAAAGATTTTAAAAAAATATATAATTCTTCTACTTGCAGCTGGGTGAAGAGGTGGTTTTGCCTGCACAAATACTGTACTCGCTGACAAGCCAACAAGGGGTGTGCAGGCAGGATCCCAGTGAAGAGGGGACCTCCACCAGCAGCAGGTGGCAGAGCAAAGCAGGAGTGAAGGGGCGTTCACACAGCGACTCTCCTGCAGAATGTGTGTAGAAAGGCATGAGATGGGGGCTGGGGGGGAACAGCCAGCTTCGATAGCTCATTTGTCAGACCCTTCAGCTAAAAACCCTGAGGGAAAAGGCATGTTCCTGTGGTTCTTCTATACTTTCCGTGCAATTTGTTTTAGGGACAGCTATGGGAAAAAGAAAGGAATGGCTCAAGTTGTACTGCAGACTTTCTCTTAAGGTAGCAAGAAAAGAATTCTACTTTTTCCAGTATATATAACTTTAGAACTTGAGGAAAGAAAGACAACTTATGAGACTGATTCATGGTTAAATTCACCTTTGACAAAAGACAGCAGAAGAGTTAGACAACACTGAAGCAACCATTCACCAGGTAGTTTTCCGATAGGAACCACTGATGGATATCTTGCTGGCTCCCTCAAGAGGTTAAAAATAATTTATACAAGTTCTTCAGTAATATTATGTCATTAGACAGAGCAGGACTCCACGGATGAGGTAAGTCTACACAGACAGCTTGCTGTGACCTCAGAGCATGTGAGCACTGGCACATAGTCCTCATTCGTGCAGAAAGAGTGCTCAGGCATCAGCTAACTCAACATTGAGCATAAGTGAAGTAGCCAAATGTGGAGATGAGAGCTGCTGCCAGACGCTACTCGTGCAGCCTGGAAATGAAAACTGACCAAGGCTGGAGCTCAGAGCTGAGGCTTTACCACCCCTCCTCAGTCCTACCTCACCTCAGCTGAGAATCAGTAGCTTCTGACATTACCTTTTAGTGGGATTGTGTGATCCTTCTCATCTGCTTCAGGGCAAAGTCAAAAAGAAGAGCTTTAGTAGCTGCTGAAAGACAGCTGAAATGTAACACTAGGTTGGATGTGGTGGGCTGACCTGGAGCATCATCTGGTCTAAAAATGATTAAGTGACCAAGTGGTCACCACTTCCCACCTGGGATGAGGCTGTTACGGATGCCATCTCTCAGCAGTAACTTAATGTTTCTTGATGTTTCTGTCTAATTCATTTCAGTCTGAAGTCCGTGGTCATTCAAGTGATCAGCTTTGCTTTTTCTTGACTTTGCCTTTCCTTGACTTTGCTTTGGAATAGAGTAGGTGGGCTGACAGTCTCCTACTGCTAAGAGGCACCAACATCCTTTTTGCAATATGTGCCTGTCCCAGTCATGACCCAGACACCGTTTGGCCAGATGCTGTTTAAACATGGATCACAGGGAGCTCCTCCTACTGTAATGAAGTGTAAGATCTAATAAAATAAGGACAAGAGGGAATATTGTTAAATGAATTCTCACATTCTTTTTTATATGCCTTAGGATACTTTATAGGACGTATTTTTTATGATTTCTAAGTTGCGTGCTTAGTAAATTGGGTTTTTTAGTTCACAGAGGCCAGAAAGAAGTGCCAAGAGAAGAACAATCAGAGGAGGTGGTCCTGGAGAAGCTGCAGAAACCGTGAACTTCTCACCTCTCACAGTTAGGCCTGCCTGTGAGATACAAAGTCACGCAGGTGCAAAGTTAGGCAAAGGTGGATATAGTCTGTCTATTGGCAGAAATAGGTTTGTTTAATTGCTATGTTTTATTAATCAAGTTTTATATTGATAAGGAGGTGATTATGGAAGGTGTATGCCCTGTCACTGTTTCCCTTTGGCACTGAGCTCCTTTTCAAACTGAGGTTCTCATTTATCTGGAGCAGATTTGATCATTTTATAACACTCTTGTTGTAAGTTTCTTTACTACAAAATGGTTGGCTGCTTTCTGTAAAGCTTGCATTGCATTATTGCTGTATGCCAGGTTCTTTTTTTTCAGTAACATTCTTTTAAATGTAAAGTTTACTTAAGCTCCTTTTGGCATCAGTCTGTGTGAGGAGGTTGCTGTGACAGGCCAGCGAGCTGCTGCCTCCGAAGCAGAGCTGGGAGTAAAGCCGGACCAAAAGTGAGAGTTACGTTTCATCACGGACTCTGACATTTCAAAATCCAATTTATAGCTATTCAGAAAAAAATCAAGTCGCTACTAAAATGTCATTAACGTGGCAACTGCTGTGTAATTGCTTTTCTCATGCAGAAATGACCTCTGGGAGAAAGCTGGCATGTGCCAGCAGATGAGTGTGCCCTGGCCAGAGGCTTCATGGACTGAGCAGACCATGAGGAGCTGCTGAGCATAGCAAGGAACAACAGAGTGAGAAGCTGACAGAAGTTACAGACAGTGCCACAAGGAACGGCCGAATTTCACAGCTGGGTAAGGAGAAGTGATGCGAGAGACCATCAGACTCCAGGGGTAACCAAAGGGACTACTGGGCTCCTTTTTGGGAGCAGAGTCTTGCAAAGCCAGCAGTGCTGCGGGTGATTGTATCGGTAATGCAGCTAATCAGTAATAAGGCTGAGATAACAGAAATACCAAATTTTGGTCCCAAAGTGGGACCAAAGGGAGAAAGCAATTAGGGGCGGTTTGCTCATTTGGAAGAGAGCAATGGCAGAGAAAGGTCAGCATGCTTGTCTTGCTGAGCCCTGTGCCGGATCACCACCATTTAGAATCGTAGAATGGTTTAGGTTGGAAAGGACCTTGAAGATCATCGAGTTCCAACTCCCCTGCCATGGGCAGGGACACCTCCCACTAGACCAGGCTGCCCAAGGCCACGTCCAGCCTGGCCTTGAACACCTCCAGGGATGGGGCCTCAACAACTTCTCTGGGCATTTATTATGTCTTATTGTTAAATCCCTTACTTAACTATTTTCCAGGTATACAATTAGCTACTGAACTCAACCTGGACCAGCGGGTGAGTGGGAGGAGACACTTGTCTGCCAGGACCCAAGGTCTGAGCCAATGCCTGGGTAAGGGGCATGCGTCCAGCCACAAATACTAGATGGACTTGAAACCTATGATAAAGTTCATGGGGGAACGTCCACCCTCACCAGCTGGAAAGAAGGAACAGGTTGAAGCTGTTGCGTGTTCATGTTCCCGCAAGTGCTGCCTGTCTGTTTGCGGGTGCTGGTGAAGACACCCGTGCTGGTGTGTGTGGGTCCATGTCTTTGGAGCACCGGCACAGCCTCCCCACTGATGAGCACTGACCTGCAGGCAGGGGCAGCTCCAGCCACAGCAGGACTGGAGCAACTGCCGGGTCTGAGGGCGCTTCAACCAAATAATTCACCTCTCATGGACCAGGAGGAAGAAATAGCCTGGGTCCTAAAAGATGCACCGAATTCAGCCATTCCCTTAGCACCTATCTGAAATTGTCTGTTCTTCAGTAGGGATACTTTGTGTAGAGAACAACGCAGGAATTTATAACCTTACTTTTTCTTCTGCTCTTCTTCTCAAAAAAAAAAAAAGTCATCATACACAGACATAAACCAACTTTTAAAACCTAGCGTAGCAATAAATCCAAATGAAAACAAAAAAAATATACATTTTCTGTACAGACAGACATAACTCCAGTTTTTACAAGCCCTGGGAAGCCTTGCTATTGTTGGATCCAGAGGGTCATCCGTCAGACTCCCGGAGGGCTGTGCTTTGGTGTGGGAACTGCAGGCGATCTCAGGGCTCTGGGGGCTGGTGCAGCCCCGGGGCTGGGGCGGCTCCCACAGCTCCCAGGTGGGATTTGCATCAGCTTTTGGTTGAACTGTACTTATTAGGAAAGTGTTTAAAATTTTATAAATTAGTATCCTCTGATGGAGACAGAAGAAACAAAACTTTCTGTCAAGCTTTAGTGGGAAAGTTTGGAGAGGAAGAGAAAAAAATCAGATCCTAAAAAGAGAGGCTTGTCCCACGTTCCCCAAACCAAACATAACTAAATACAATAACATCCTCCAGTCATAGAGTAATGTGACTTTTCAGTTCTTTCTGAAAAGTTGGATCTGTGGTGGTGGGGAGGGAAAAGGGGAGCATGAGAAAACCATGTCATGCTGTCATGAAATAGGAAAGAAGAAGGTGGAAGGAGTATGTAGACATTGTGAGTGTTAGCTCTCTTAGGTGATGTTGAATTTTCAATCATTGATTGGAAAGGCTGCGACTGGGACATTGAAAGTTTAAGGATTGCTTTGCTGAAACTGAGAGAACAAACAGGTGAAAAGAAACATACCTTCTTTTCCAGCCTGTCAATCAGCTTTTGGAGTCTGTTTATCTGGGTCATCCACTGGCTGTCTTCCTCAGTCCAACCTTTGGAAAATATAAATAATGAACATTTATAAAATGTTACTAAATGCTGGAACATAGTGTATTCATTTATTTTATAAAGAAGTTTAGCTTAGCTTGCAATTTATTTGGCTTCTCAAAGATTGTGCTGCAACTTGTTCAATGTTCATTTCGGTGTAACTAAAGGAAAGCATGATTTTGACTATATGAATTCTTTTCTTCCTTTTTAAGATAAAATAGAAATCCAGTACAGAATGAAAACTATATTCTAGCTTAATGCCAGTGCTTTTGCAATCATGCTGATACCTGAGGAAAGGAATCCTCTGCAGATTGAACCAGCTCATAACCTGAGCACCTTCTGCTCAAAGTGCAAAATCATCTTGGTGGGGTGTGTGGGTTAAAGCTTTCCCTTAATATTTTTCTTAGTTTGTCATTTCTTAATCTTCTTTACATGCAAGTTTCTATGAAAGTACGAGTCAGCTCTTCTGCTGCATAGCAAGCTTCTCTCTGTGATTCCTTTCAATTGCATCCCATGGAGGGACCACATGCTGTGTCTTTTCTGAAGTTCACCCCTGAGAGCTTTCACTGGTGAAGGTGAAAGAAATGCAGTCAAGACTCTTAAATCCCCGCGCGTGGCCAGTGCAGCTTAGGCAATAGGATCTTTATTCCTCCTTCAGGGAGATGGCAGACCTGCTGTAGGGTCCCGACTGCATTGCCCTGGTCAGCCTGTTGCTGCCCCCAGGGTCCTGCCACAGTGCTTCTCCTAGCAGGATTCCAGGATTATTCAAAAGTTTCCTTCCCAATAAAAAATACATTCTAATAAACAGCAGAAAAAAGTTAATTGAGGGTACATGTGCAGCTAAATGTTTTAGATTTCTGGCATGATATGTTGAGGGATCTGATGGAGCCTCCTAACATCCTAACATCACAGAACATCTTGTATGCATTAGGAATAAGGGTCTTTCTCTTCGTTGAGAAAAAGTTCATTTAGCTGCAACAGCTGACTTTTACTTACACTCTGAGGGGTTTTCAGCTTTGTTACAGTCATCTGCAATATAGCGTCTTAAGGGTTTTCTTGTGTTCTTTCATTAATTATGGATATAATCTTGCAGTGGACTCTAAAGCTGATTTAATAACATTAACTGGATGTTATCAGCCAATGACCCTTCTTTACCTTTCCAACAAAACTGTGTTCCTAGGTGCTTGATGAATTGCAGAAATATAACTATTAGGACTGATTCTTCCTATATTAGATTTTTCTAGAATGAGATTTATGCTTGTGGTGACTGCAAACTTTGAACAACTCAAGATTGATCGTATTTTATCACAATAGCTTTCCTGTGTTTACTTTTTCAGCAGCAGAGGAAAGACTAAAGACACTGAATGTTAATTGTGTCTTGTTTCTTTATATGGACAGGACATGCCCCTTTCAGAAGACTTCCTAGCTCTCCATCTCTATGGCAGTCATAGCTGTGACTGTATAAATGACCTGATGTCATATAGCAAAGGTGAAGCTAGAAAATGTTGTTCTACAAAGGCACAAGCATCTCTGAGCCTCTATAAAGTCTGGAAAATTTTGCTTTGCTGAAGTCTCAATAAAATTGTCTTTCAGATGGAAAGGATAATACTCAAAGCATCAGATATATGT